TCTCATAGTCAAATGCTCATGCAATATAAAGCCAACACATTTTTTTGATATCTTTGCAATGTCAGCTAACTCATGCAACTTCATTTTTCGGTCATTCAATACGATTTAGTGTTTTTTATGTTTTCTGGTGTTACTGCCTCATTTGAATTTGCAATGCGTTCTGCATCATCGATGTTTCTACGACCACGTTTGAAGTCAACAAACCAACATTTAATTGTTGTTTCTGATGGTGCGGAATCCTAATAACACTTTTCAAGCCATTGCTTCGTTTAAACGGTATTTTTTTTTCATCAAGAAGTAGTGTAAACTCAAAACACGAAATTGTTTTTGATCCATTATTCTGAAAATAACAAGTAGTGTCACTCTTATAGTCCAGGATCCCGCTGCAAAATCACAACGTCTATAGCGTAGTTATCCGAACCCAGATTTTTACATACATTTGTGAATAGGAGAATACATTTACGACAGGGTGCCAGTCAAAATGTGTCCGCAAATATTTTTAATTAAAAAAAAGCGAGTACATGTGCTTCGAACCCTTCAGCTCCATCTATATGAAACTATGTACTTACAATGGCTATATTGGGGAAACCAAATGAAGTATAAGAAATCTGAAAACAAATTTCAGAATAACTGTGTAAATATGATATAAAAAAATGGAACTATCTTCAAAATCGGTTTTCCATTGTCGAACATAACTGAAAAATTTCAGATAAATTTCCAGCTAGATCAGGTGTACCACAAGGATCGAATCTAGATCCACTTCGGTTCATAATTTATAAGTATATGAATTATCTTTTTTTTGCTGATGATTTTAAACTCTTCAAATCAGTCCAATCAGTCCGAGACTGCACATATCAGCAAAAGTAAAATGTAGGAGTTTCACAGAATCTGCTTCAGAACCATTTCTCAAGCTGGAATCGATCCTTCCAAGTGATGAAGGGTTTTGTAGAGGGATTGATGCGGCTTTACTCCATGAAGTATTTTAGTAGCTTGATTTTCTTGAATAAAAATATTGGCGGCCACTTTTCGGCTAACAATCTGTCATGAATGTATTTTCCTATTCATAAATGTAAAATTTGAGTTTCATTAACTACGCTATTAACGTAGTGATTTTGCGGTGGGATCCTGTACTATTAGCATAATAACTCACAAACTTATGAATGGAATATCATGGAATTCCAACAGCTTTCTTTTGAAGGTTAGTATTAATAAAAAAAGCGGTAGGTGAACGTATAATGCAAATATTTATCATGGCCCTGCAAATTGAATTCAAAATTTGACGTGACTGAAAATTTCTTATGAATATGAGCTACTTAAAAAAAACAATTTCAACATTTGTGTTCAGCGTATAACTAATAAAGAACCAGCTACTTCCGTGAAAATTTTTTCGGGTTGTTCAATGAGTATCGAGTTTCCGATCTGTTCACAAACTCGTGACTAGAATACAAATTAAAAATAAATAGTCAATTATCACCCTTCTATCAACCAGACTGTTTTCGTGAGCTCTCAGGGATGACGGGTGAGTGGATTTTAATACGATTTTTATGCTTCAGTCGGATACTTTCATAGATATCACGATAATGGTAGGTTGCTAAATGTTTCCTCGTGTTTGCCTTTTCTATGTATTCAGATGGGATGCTCGAACAAGATTAAAATACGTGCTGTGAATTTATAGTATGAACATTCTATACTTGTTAAGTGTTTTCGATTTATTTGAAGTAATTTGGTAATGTATAATTTTTGTATAACTCAATGTTTATATATAAATTGTAGTTTCGAAAGTATATTTTCTTTCGTGTAATTCAATGTTTATATGAAAGTAGTTGTATATTATGTGAAGAGGTAACTTCACATAATCTACAAATAATTGTGAAGTTTTTTTTTGGAATCAATTGTTTTTTTTTTCTGAAGATTTCCACCGCGTTCAGGCTATCCCTAAAATAGGCAAGGAAAATTTTTCGAATAACTATAGACCAGTCACTTTGTAAAACAGTAATGTAAAACATCATGAAGAATGCCGTAGGCCACCATATCCTTGAAAATTTGGAAGCTTTTAACATCTTAAGCGATCATCAATATGGTTTTCATGAACGAAAATCAACAGGCGATTGTCACTCTCATTTGGAATAATGTAATCGAGAAACATGGAGAGTCGAGAGTTGTTGCGCTTGATATTTCTAAGGGCTCTGACCGTGTGTGACATGAGAGTTTGCTGGTCAAACTTAGATGCTATGGCTTATCGGATCAATACTGGTGTTCCCCAAGGATTCATATTGTCTTCAACTTCTTTTCTTGTATATCATTTATAAATTGGAAAAAACAAGAATCCAATATAATGCTCTGCTGACGACAGCACACTTGTCTCCTCATTCCATTTGGATTCCAGAACATCGGCTGCATATGTATATCTCCACCGACAGCAGGAGGTTACATATTTCAATGACGATCTACAACTGATTTCAAATTGGAGTGAAAGTAACCAGGTTCATTTCAATGCCACATAAACCCAGGCTTCGGCTAACAAAAAAAAATATGGTTTACGAACGGGATATAATAACGTCAGGACAGACAATTCCGCTTTCAGATTCGATAAGTTTGTTGGGGGGTTGAAATAGACACCAATATGTATTGACACAATCATGCGAAGGCTGCTTCTCAAAAGCTTGGAACACTGTCCCGAACCAGAACTGTATACACCCCAGCAACTTTTGACGCTTTATAAAGCTCATATCAGACATTCTATGAAGGAGCCCCACCCCTAAGCATATTCTGAAGCTGCTGGATTCCTTCCATAAAAGAGTCATCCGCCTGATTGGTGACGCGAACATCACTTGCAACCTTGATAGTCTCGAATATCGAAGAAAGGTTGGAAATTTGTCTCTCTTCTATATATACTTCCACGAAAAGTTTTCAAGTGACTTGGCACATTTGACACAACCAAGAGAGGTGTTTTGACCCACGATAATTTTATCGTGAGTATGAATGCTTAATGCACACAAGAATTACAATAACTCTTGTGGAAAGATAGGATGAGAAAGATCACTGTACTGTAAACAAGACAAGATTTAATTCTTACTGTACTTTTACAAGGTTTGAAACCTAATGAATGAATTTACAAAATACAATATTTCACATCGATAGTTCGAGAAGGGGTCAGATTCGTCATTGTAGAAATAGTCAGAGGTTTGGTACGTAGGAAAGGTAGGAAAGGTCATAATAGCGGGGAATTCCCAAGATAAGGGATACAAAGAACAATTAAGGAATTTAAAAATCTAGCTATTTGTAGCTTACAATATGTAGGTTGAATATATGGGTTGCTTGAGAAAAGATATTCGAGAATATTGAATTTTATGAGGAAAAGTGGATTAGAAAAGATCTGTACATTATAAAACCAATTGGAAAACCCCGATTAGGAATAATTAAAGAATAAATAACTTAAACAAGATTAGTTAGCAATACATAAAATAAAAATAATGTCGTAAAACAATATGTTTTTTTGTACAAATTTTAGAGCTGACAACTCTAGGCTATATACTGAAAAATTAAGACCCACTTGAAAAACATAATAATTTCGATAACACGATTTTGAGACCGAACAAGAGGTACATATCAGAAATACGCAACGGACTGTGGCTGCTCATTATTTTGAGGTTCAACTCAGTACAGCTTGAACTTAACTGTTCAAGAACTCTTCCATTTGGAGCATCGCTTTTAGAGCGCCTTGAAGATTTATCTTTAGTAATTGTTTTTGTCCTTGAACAAAAATTAAATAGAAACAAGAGAACGTTACACGAAAATGCACATTTTTGACAAACATGCTGTTTGTCAAAAATTTTCGATATGCGGTTTTTGCCATTGAGTTTTTCGTAAAATTTGTCCCAGATATCAGTTTTCATCTATCTAATTTGAAAACAGGAGTTTCCTTTCAAAAGTGTCCAATTTGACCCATTCTGAACAAGTTCTGCAAGCTTTCAATAATGAAAATGTTACGGTAAACGGTTCTAGTAAGTTAGAAATAATATATTGTATAGCGAAACACGTGTCCAGGTTTTGCAAACCTTTCATAGTGAGAATCCCACAGTAAATGGTTTTTTAAGGTTTAGAAAAACCAATTGTTTGTTTGAATGTGGTTGACAATGTTTCATGGTGCATTTCATCAGTTCGGACTTCCATCGTCTAATTCCTATCCCTACTAATATTATAAATACGAATGTAAGTTTGTTTGTTACGGTTTCACGCGAAAACTACTCAACCGATCATCATGAAATATTGTTCACATGTTCCTGGAGGTATTAGAAGTAACATAAGATACTTTTTATAAAAAAAATATTTTTTATGTAAGATAAAAAAAATTGTTTGTTAAAACGTCATCTAGCATTGCAGTAATGAAGTTCCAACCCGTATTGCCGTAATACCGTCGCACTGTATTATTGACACTCACGACAATATCCAATCCAATCCAATCCAATTAATTGACTATAGTTTTAGCTGTTTGGAATTTTTAATATTTATTTTCATTTTCTCCTGTCATTTTTATTTTTAGGGAAGGTGTCATTTTTGTGGTTAGATGTCACTTAATTATTTTAACATTTGTTGTTGCAATTCAATAAAGCATATTATAAATTTTCGAAATTTCATCGTTTGTAATAATTTTCAAAAATTGATAATCCCAGCCAAGCATTAAAATATTTTTCTCATATTGATTCATTTCTATTGTACTGACAGTTATTTGATGGCATGAATGCAAGCGAAGCCGCAGGTAAAAGCTAGTATGGTATAAATTGATTTGAAATCCCTGAAAAAAACTGTAAAAAATTAAAAAGATTAGCTGAAAAAACAATGTTATCAAACAAAAAACTGAAATTCCAATGAAATAACATACAATCTACAAAATCGATTTTTAGCCAGTTCTGTTCAATTTTCTACACCAAATAATTCGTCACATCGTTCTCTCCAATTATATTTCTCATTAAAAAATTTTACTATTGTTTCAGCCCGCTGCGAACGACATCATCGGTTCTTCGAGCACGGAACCAGATTCGAACGGACTAGTGTCACGCTCAATCACCCTGCGTTTCCCGATCGAACGGAAGGCGTCCCGAGGGAACAGTATAGAGATCCGTTGCGAATCTGCCCTTCCCGGCGTGCCCATACCCAAGCAGATCACCTCTCTCAGCGTCCTCGTGAGGAATCCCAACGATCCGCAAGTCATCAACAACCAAAAGTTGCACTGGTATGTAGACCGCATCTTCGGCCTGATTGACGGCTGACCTTTTCATTTTTCGGGAAGGTTTATGGATGTGAAAGAGTGATGGACTGAGCGAGGGTCGACCGGTATTAAAAATGTAGTGGATTGATGAATGTCGTAAACTTTCACCGAATCGATTTTTCAAAACGTCGGCTGTTGGTGTCCATTGACGTTCCCTTTTCAAGACAAGTTCAATTCTAGTAGTTTCAATGATAATTTGAAAAATCAAAGAATGTAAACTTTCACTGCCAGAGATAACTGTGTGGAAGTTATTTTCCGGTTGTTTTGGCCGTGGTTTCAGGTTTTTATGGTTGACGTTTCGTCTACTACTGCGATATACACTATCAAAGGCGATGTAACGGTGTTCTGTTTTGAATTGCTGCGTTGAGATCCACTCAAGCACTTAAGCCGTGAACCTGTAGACCACGGCTGAAAAACCCTAGAAATAGCTTTGACACGGTTTGAGGAATGTTGAAAGGAATTAGCGAAAGTAAACAAGATGTGGCAAAGTACAACGAGCATTTAAAACTCAATGCAAAAAAAATCAACGCTACTGACATTTATTGTCATCTCCTCAGTAGAACATTTGGCGCAAGTACAAAATATGTTCATTATTTTCAATGAGATTTCTCCCCTTTTATTATATAAAAAAATTGAACTTGTGAAATAGAACTTCATATAACTAGTTTTAGAAAGGCGTCTACTCCGCCTCGATAATTTAATGTGCGAACAAAATGTATTCTTTACAAACGAAAAAGCGCTATTGATCATCATCAACGTATTTCATAATTTTTGGAGGTTAATATTTGCCTTCGTCATCATAACTAAAATAATTGACTATAACTAGAATTTTATATCTATTGATATGATTTATTTTCAAACTCATTCGACAGATGTCAATGTTTATTTTTTTCAGTTCTGGGGACGCAGCCAGATTTTGGCCTCAGAAAAGTTAAAACAAGTAACTGTGCAATTCTTGGCACTTCTTTGAAAAGCTTGATGAAAAATTCGACAATTTAGTGATAACGTATGTTCCTTATGCATTGAATTCACACAATTACTTATTAGAGTGAACTGAAAGTTTGCATTTTTTGCAGCTTCATGAAATTGTGGAAAATGAAAATTCCCAAAAAGTTACAAAAAAAGTAATTTTCCCCACAAAAAAAACTTTTGTTCAATATGTGTATTTTATATCTGAAATTTCATTTCTTCCTAACTATATGATTTTGTATGTGTGATATTTTTACTGTCAGGAATTATTTTTTCCAAATCTCTGGAAAATAATGTACACTCAATGATTCAATGAGTTGTCCTATTTTTCCAAAACATACATTCCAAAAATCCTGTTCTCTGTTTTTTCAGGACCTTTTTCCAATGTTTGTTCCATTTTCCTGTAAATAATATTGGTTGTTTATATATTGCCTGCCTCCTGTGATCCAGTGCTTCACATTTGTATATATCCCGAAGAAATTTCTCTGCATCTTGCATTGCCAGCAAGTTGTTTTTTTTGTTAAACAATTGAATTTTGTTCAGGTGTTCTGTAAATGGACTGTGTTCAGTGAAGACCTCTGAAATTACTCTGGGCCACTCTTTTGTTGGAGCAACTCTTCCGGTCTAGTCTTGGGCTGTATCCACATAGGAGTATTTCTGTGTGTTCGAGGGTGTATTTTCTCAGTTCTCTTCACAATTCTCATGAACCCATTTCCTGATCTAGTTTCCATTCTACTGATTTATCCTCATATCTATTTCAAGTTCCATTTGAGAAGATGATGATCGTCATATTTTCGGTCGCACCAGTATTTTGCAGACTTCTCAACCGATCTTACAAAAAAGGGATTTTTCCTTCCTATTGTAAGATGGCTCGCGTTCAACCTTTTCTCAAAAAGGGCAAGAAAAATCTCTCAAATAACTATAGACCAGTCTCTTTGCTATCAGTTAAATCAAAAATCTTGAAAAAAATCGTAAACCACCATATCCTCAAATATCTGAAAGGCTTCAACATCTTGAGCGATCATCAATATGACTTTTTGAAACAAAGATCAACAGGCGACCTTCTATCGTATGTCACCTATATTTGGAATAATGCAATCGAAAAACATGGAGAATCAAGAGCTGTTGCGCTTGATATTTGATTGGTCGTGTGTGGCTTGAAGGTTTGCTAGTCAAACTTCAATGCTATGGCTTGTCTCGGATCATTTTTGGGTATGGCTATTTAGCTTCCTGAAAGAAGTTTCCCTATAAGTGGCCATCGATGGATGTCTCTCGAATACTTTCACCATCAACGCTGGTGTTCCCCAGGAATCCATAGTATCTCGAACCTTCTTTCAATTGTATATCAACGACTAATTGAAAAAAAAAACAAGAGTCCAATATATTACTTTACTGACGACAGCACACTCATCTCGTAATTTCAGGATATCGGCTACGAAGGCACATCTTCACCGGCAGCAGGATTCGTATTGGGGTGAAATTCAATGCCACAAAAACCCAGGCATAGGTTTTCTCCAAGATGATACGTTTCTACGAACAGATTATAATTATGTCAGGTCGGACAATTCCGCTTTCAGCTTCGATAAGTTTGTTGGGAATCAAAATTGACACCAATATGTCTTGGCACAATCATGTGGCTGGAATTGCAAAGGCTGCTTCTCAAAAGCTTGGAACACTGTTCCGAACCAGGAAATAGTACAGACCTTAGCAACTTTTGATGCTTTATAAAGCTAAGATTACACCTTCTTTGGAGTATTGCTCTCATGTTTGGAGCTCTGCTCCCAAACATACCCTGACGTTGCTGTATCCAATCCAGAATAGAACTATTCACCTGATTTACACTTTAAGAGATATCCTCTCACGCAAAAACCTACTAATGCTTTTTACTTCCCTAGTAGAATCCATTCTAAGATACAGTATTATAATATGGGGAGGAGCCTTCGTTAACAACTTACGTCCTCTACATATTATACGAAATTTCATCATAAAAATCATATCCAGAAAAAAGTAACAGTATTCCACGAAATTACTATATGAAGAAACAAAAATCCTACCAATCAGTCTTTTGTATGTTCATCAATATATAATTCGAGTTCACACAACTAAATACTTACTTCGAAGCAGATCTGTCCAACCAACCAGACAAACTAGTAATGAAGAATTAGCAATACATACATTTAGAAAAGCTATAACCCAGAGAACGTTCCTATTTTTCGGTCCAAAATTTTACAATGAAATACCAGTACATTTAAAAAAAAATTGACAAACTAAGAAATTTTAAAACTGAAATAAAG